TGCTACAAGAAGCATCATCATGAAGAATGGGTCTCCATCGAAACCCTGGACAAGATTCGAGAAAGGGAAAGCAATAAGATAGCAGTTAATAACAGATGAACAAGAGCAGAAAAAGTCAGGGCACAAGCTGAGTACACAGAAGCAAACAAGAAGATCATTAGAGCTGACAAGCAGAAATATGTTGGAAAGCTGGCACCGACAACGGAAAAAGCTGCAAGAGAGAGAAATATCAGACAACTATATGAAAGGAAATATAGTAAACCAGAGAGATCGGGCAAGGACAAAGAAGGCAAGTCAATCACTGAGATTCGATGACAGGGGAATAGATGGGTGGAATACTTAGAGGAACTGTTGAGTAGACCAGCTCCATTGAATCCATTGCATATCGAAGCAGCACTTATTGCCCTTCCTATAGATGTCACTCCATCAACGACCGAAGAAATCAGGATGGCCATCAGAAAACTCAAGAATGCGAAAGCAGCAGCATCTGACAGCATACCAGCCAAAACACTAAGTTTAGATATAGAAGTAACTGCAAACATCCTCCACGTTCTATTAAGGAACCAGCAGAATGGAAAGAAAGAAACCTCATCAAGATATCAATGGAATGAGATCTGAGCAAATGTGAAGACTAGAGGTATCACACTACTATCGGTACTAGGAGAAACTTTTAAGTCGTGACGGATCATCATTGAACAATCAGTTGAGTGGAACTCACCTCTATACATCGACTATTAGAAAGCATTTGATAGTGTGGATAGGAGAACCCTGTGGAACCTTCTCCGGAATACAATGAGCATCTTGCATGTAACTAGACGGTTTGTACTTCACAGATGACCGAGCTGTTCTATCCCATACATACTAACAAATTCAGTTCAATACAACTAGTGTAGCAGCCTCTGTAGAAGTAGGCCTCAACATACACAGGGTACGAACGTCAAGACAATTAGTTCTACTGTACTGAACCTAAAATTTGAGAACTACCACAACCATCATCAAAAATGTACAAGGATTTATATACAATTGTCTACGCAAGGTATTTAATGTCCGTTGTTCGAATACCGTCAGCAACACCCTACTGTGTGAGAGAACAAACCAGCTTTCAAATGAAGAGAAAATTATGAAGGTGGATGGGACATATATGACAGAAATCACCAAACTCCATCACGAGACAAACGCTAACTTGGAATCCCGAAGGTAAACTAAACGGGGAAGGCCAAAGAACACACTGCGTCGAGAATTGGAAGCAGGCATAAAAACGATCAGTAGCAGATGAAAGAACTGGATGGAAAACGCCGTTGAGTGGCCGATGCTGCTCCATAAGGAGCAACAGGCGTAAGTAAAAAGTAAGTAAGTAACTCGTAATAAGACCACAATCAAGTACAAAGGAATCACCAGTTAGTACAAGTACTGTAGTAGCATTGGACCATAACCACACAATCCTCAAAGCTGAACACAAGACAACTCGGGAAATAGATATTCATTATTTAACACGGAGAAATACCTAACGATGGAGAATGCAGGAAGAATGAGTTATACTAATCGGAGTTGGTCGATTGGCATGGCTCGGCCATACAGGCGTGGTCCCTGCGGAATATTACCTTATATCTTTTATTCATATTAAATATATTGTTCTATCTCTAGCCTAAGCTTGTTCTACATCATGTATTGGTGATTGTTACGATACGATGAGTTGGTGTAGAAGATGGCATGACTTCTACGTAAGATCTTGTAGATTAGGCAGTTATACCATGACAAGTCTATGATTTTAGGATTAGGTCTATTATTAGCGCAGTACTAATATCATAGAAGACCATAGTTCCACAGTACCACAGTTTGACAGTGCATTTGTCTTTAAAACCGTTATAACCAAAATACACCAACCCAGTCAAATCAGAAGTCAAGGATGAATGAATTCGTAAATATATTTGGAAAGTTATCGATATTTTGAGAAGCATTTGATTTAAGCTGATTATAAGTTGTAAGGGATGAGCGTCAACATCTTCAACACTCCACGCACTGACATATAGGGTAGGGATTTAGTAATTTTTTATTAACCCTGCTTTATTGTACTTGTTGAATCAAAAAGCATTCTTGTTCTACTCTAAGTTGAAGTATTCCGGCTGAAGTTTGAAATTTCGCTTATCTTTATCTTGTGGTACTTTCTTTTCCCTTGATTCTGACACCTGCGTTCATATTGTGATCATTATGTCTTCTAAACCTTCTCGATCTGATTACAATGGTTGACAATACATAACCGAAATATTCTTATTAATCTTTGGGTAACCTCCGGTGCGCAAAATCCAATTCAAGTTGATGCCGAACCAACGTCACGTTGATTTTAGTGGGAGAGTAGAGCATTGGTTCCTAACCACACGACCTTTGAAGCCGAGCATATATTTACTGAAAAGATTAATATTTAACAATTAACACGAAGAGAAAGTCAACAATGGTGAACGCAAGAACATTCAACAGTTGATAAAATGAAATGTCTCAGGCTTGCAGGTGTGATCATCCTTGTGTAACTTATCTCTTTTATTCACATTAAATATACTGTTCTATCTACAGCCCAAATGTGATCTTTGGGAATGGCAAACATTATATCGCTGATTATCACGATACGACAAGTTAGAAAAGACAATGCTGTGACTTAAATGTAAAGCTTTATGGATGAGGTTTTCAAATCATGACAAATCTACAATTTTAGGATTAGGTCTACTATTATAGCAGTACTAATAACCGACCAGACTATAATTTTACACATGCACTAGTATAGCATGGATCCCAATCCCACACGATTTTTGTCCGAACCCATGTTCTTCTTTGTTAGAATTGGTGATCACTCATGCGACTGGGGATATTGCCAATCTAAATATTCTTCCACCGTTAGCGAATAGCGATCACGCCGTTTTGCCATTCACGTTTAGAGCTCGCGTCATTTTATACGACCAGGTTAAGTCTCGCTCAAATGCATGGAAGGTAAGCATACCAGCCATTCAGGAGTACACTGACAAGATGGATTAGTCACTAGATACCAGCTCATCAGCTGAAGACGCATGGTTTATATTTAAGGGCAGGCTTAGTCCGGTTAAGTCCTCGTTTACACCATGCCTACTACCACGTACACCGAATGACTGTCCATCTTGTACAACTATACAAGTCAAAAAATTTCTTAGACGTAGGAAAAAGTATCGAACGTATTCATCTCTTTTGGCTTAGAACAGCACAGATTCAGATATTGTAAGACTGAGAATGCCTGTAAAGCGTTGGTAAGTAATACTCGCCAGTCATATGAAAAGTAATTGGTTAGGGATTGTAAAAATAGTCAGAAACGGTTATTGTCGTGCATAAAAAGGTAAACCCCGAGAAGTGATGGAATCCCACCACTTTGGTACGAGAAAATCCGTTAATATGGGCAAGGGATGATGCCGAAAAAGTTGCAGGTTAATCAAGCTATTTTGGTAGTGTTTTCTTATGTGAATGAATTACCAGCTGTAGCAAAGTCATTCTGTAGTGTCGGTTACTGTGTTAAGCCCACATAACTTACTCTGGCCTCTAGACAGGCCAATTTGTACGTCCTTCTTGAGTCACGTTTTGACCTTGTTAATTATTCACATATCAACCCTGAATGTTTTTATATGAGCGTGTGTGCACATATTATCCTACTAATTACATATCTATAGTTTATTTTTGGGTGACTATAAATAGTGATTAACGCTTGAGTAAATCGAGTTGACTCACAAGCCTTTTCCACTGCGCTTCCTTTCGCTTCGCTTTGCTTAGTCCCTCTGATTGTCTGTCCAGATCAATGAGTGTACAAAATATACATATTCAAAACTTCATTCTCGTATTTGACTTATTAATTCCGCTACACAACAATGCGATTTGAGTCTATAGTTATGTACGAGAATAGCCAAGATGTGTATTTTGACGACAGCCGTTCATACAATATAACTGGAGTCAGGTCACGGGCCCCAAAAATCTGTCCTACTCTTCGCCTAGGACATAAAGATTTGGAGACCCATAAACAATAAATCAGATAGAGTAGTATTACAGAATGATATCAGTTCATCGGGGGCATGAATGGACGAATGGTCATCAGAAGAATGTTCTGACAAGATTGTGGTAATGCAATTAAATAGCTATGATGATTCGTATCACTACACAATTCGTGGAGTTGTGTTACCCAAAGTAATGAACTATAAAGATTTATGTGTCATGATAAGTAGCAACCTAAAAATTACAGGCAATCGCCGCTACCAGAGGTTCTAGGGCATTATGGGCTATTGGTTGGTCATTTTAGTGCTCAGACGAAGAAATTTCTAGTGTTATACCGCATTTGGAATATGGGATTCAAATAGCGAGTCCTTGTTTCAAGTATGAGGCTGATATACTGGAACGAAACCGACGATGAGGGACTCACATGATGAAAGGCCTCCCTAGCCTATCTTATGAAGACAGACTGAGACACCTAAACTTATTTCGATTATCTTATCACAGATTAGCTTAGCGCATAACGATGACCTTGGTTTCAATGTCTTACCTTTTCCTTCTCTCTACGGCTGATCACTTGATAGTACGTCCTGAAGATGGCACAGGTGTTCAGTGTTCGACAACGCTTTTACCAATAACACCTTCTAATATAACTTGTACCCACCAAAAGAAATCAAAAGACAGAATCGACGAGATCAGAAGTTGTATTTGACGATTGCCAATATATCGGAATTGTCTGATCTAGTCTGGCTAGCTCAGTAGTCGGGATCGAATTGTCTACGTCTGGAGTTTCCTTTCTCGCATCAAGTAGTGAATCACTGGAATTCTCTACCAGAACTCGTAATATCAGCACCTTCTGTTGATATTTTCAAAATGAGATTGGACCTTCACATTGCTACAATTAGAAAGGACTAATGTATGTCAGTAGACCTCTTATCCTTATTACTGGAGGTTGAAATAGCCTGATGATTTTCGCTCAATCGGTTTCAGAATTCGCTTTCATTAGCACTTATACGAAAACTGCGTTACTGCGCATCATGACTCCAAGGTCAGCTGCTGAGTCAAAACAATTGCCCCCAGAGGTACTATGCTTACTCCATAAGTCTGATCTCAGTGCAGATGACTTAAGGAAAATTTATAACTATGCTCAAGCTAATCCAGTGCATCTCAGCCACCACATAAGTCGTCTGGAAGTATTATTGACCAAACTAATTAATCCTGTGGAATGTAGTTGTTCAAGCAGAAACTCTGTGCATTTCGACTTTGCCTGCAAAAATGTGGAATACGATGAAAGGCTCCAGCTTTCCGCCGCATGTTTCTCCTTAATCCCATTTTTAAAATTCTCCCCTCAGCGTCTTCAGGAGTTCCAGTTACGTCTATCCAAATGCCTTTGTGACTCATTGTCCTGCCTCTTCGGAATTCATGGTTTGCCTCACGTAACTTTATCGACCGTTCAAGCGTATCTAAATTCGAAGGTAGACGATTTTTCATGTATTATTTCGGTAGACAAAATCAAAAAGCTACCTGACGACTTCTCCAAGTTGCTGATTATGCGTGTTGATTTTCTCACTTATTGCTTACGTTATATCTTCACGCGTGATTCTCCAATGCACATCAATTTTTGCTTACCTATGTTTGTTTCCATATTTAATGGTTTTTTCGAAGTAAGATTGACGGACGTGGCTAATATGCCAAGTAGTCTGCTAAAAAGTTCTAGTCGTCTCATGTTATGTTTAGATACAATGTGTCAAGCTGTTGGTACAGTAATCATGCCCGCTGTTCCTTGCTTGTTAACTCTTGTCACATACCACTTAGAATGGACTGCGAGCTGGCGAGTTGAAAGTAAAAATATGGAGTATTTTGTGCGCCTGCGTTTGGCAGCTTTTTCTTGTTTACTCCATCTCACCACTGCGAGTTTAAAGTTTTCGTACGCATATTTTATGGAAATGATACCACGAATATTTTCTCAGTTGGTGTATGATTTACGAGGATTTCTTTCTACTTGTCAATGTACGTATCCAATCACATCCACCAATGCTGTTTTCAATAATGACCATCCGAAACCTCAAGTAACTTCACTTGGACTGTTTGAAAAGCGTATGCTGTTGGCGATCCTGCTCCTAGTAGAATATATTTTTAAAGACCCAGGAGTTCTGCGCTATATCGAACTCTCCAAAGCAATAGATTCCAGTTGCACGACTGGTAAAGAAAATCCCTCAAGTCATACACCTGTTCATAACGAAGTGAACAGTCTTCTAATCTGTTTAACCAGCTTACTCTCACATATAAACGTTGTTCTTAGTTATGGAGTGTCTCATACTCAGCGACAGAAAAAGATCAGTACCATGAATTTAGTCAGTCCACCCCTGTTAATTGCTCTAGCAAAAGCTTCTTTTGCATGTGCCATGTCTACTCGTAGTCAAACGTTTCATGTCACTGTTCGAAGATTCTTCGCCAACCTCACGAAACATTCAGACAGTGTGGTAAGTTTAATCGCACTAGGTAATTACCATCAATTATGTGGTGCAAATATCAGCAGTTCCGTCAGTCACGAAGATTCAGAGATATGTAGAAACACTCTGTCAAGTAATCAACTTACTCCTCAAACGAAGCTTGTCTTACCCGATGAGAAATATAATGTCGTCGAATATACTTCGGAAGTATGTTCTTCAATTAAGATTTCAAATCCCGAACAGGAGGGACCTCCCGTCAAGCGCCTTCGAATTACGGAGTCACATACAGTTGCACAAGCTACTGAGATATGTTCAAATGCTATCTGTGGTGCTTTAGAAGCTGACGTCCCACCTAGAATTCAACAAGAGAATTTGCCGTTATCTGGTGAGCGAAACGTTCTTGCATCAGAGGATATAGACAGTTTTCTGACCACTTTTGATCCGACTTTTATGTGATTCTTTGATACTTTTACTTCCATCCATACCTTTGTAAATAAAACGCTGTTATTGTTTGGTTAAAAGAATATTAAGAATAATTCAATATGTTTATCCTCTCAGCTATGGCAATGCGTAAATCGTCACATCTAAATTGAGAAGTCGCTTGCAAGTTCTCCGTCTTACTAACTGCCTTTTCTGTGGCTTTTGTTTAAGTCATGAAAAACGTATGTATGTTTCCTACCAAATAAGCATATTGCACAACAACCAGATTACTTAACTGACATTTCGGTTTCACCTCGTTACATAATTATAATACCGCATTTGATTTAAAAACTTAAGTTCAACAAACGTTACTATTGTGTGTAAACGATAACGAGTTCAGATAATGTTTAAGAGACCTATGTATTAATTATATGTATTGTTTGATTGTTCTTAACAAAGAATGGAACAAAGTATAAGTCACAGAATAAACAACCATAATAGTAAAGTGCTAATCGCCTGTGTTAAAGTTATTGCATTTGTTGTGTCGATTTAATAATCAAACGTCAAAAACTTCTGTTGGGTTTTGCGACCATGATCACAGGTTTGTGGAACCTCAACCCTGATCCTTTATATCAGGTTTTTACTTCTAAGTGATCAAGTCACAGTCCCGTTCCATACCTCATTACTTCCCCACTTCGTTCCTTACATCATTCTCATCGTTAGTCTATACTACATCAACCCACCAGGTACTTAGAAACAACCCACATGCTAAGGGTGAGGGATATTATACTGACTGACCATACAAACTGAATTAACATTAATCTACACTCACCACCGTTCTTCAAATGTGTAAGACATTTTAGTAATTCAAGCTGTTCGGACGTGAAATTCAAAATCAGAAAAGTATGTTGTGTTTTTGACACATACAAACAGAACTAAGCTATGGTTATCCACTTAACCTCACCTCTATATCGTGGTGACCCCAAACGATTAACTCCTTGGTTATCTGAATATTCAATACCGACATGAGTAGATATGGAATTAAGCTTGAAAACATACTATTCATCTGTGAACTGTCTCTTAAAATTTACATGTGCATTTCCAAACTGATTGCCACTTCATGAACTGAAAAGCTCGATATATTATGTATCACCTGTTGTTTAGAATCTTTCTATACTTTTGTTGGACATAGTTTGAAAAAAATAAAGGGAAGTTTCTGTCAGCAGCTTCCAGATTTACATAAGGACAGACGAACAAGTGAAATGCATCAGGATTAAGTCAAACAGGAAATACTAGTGTGGAGGGAAAATCTAGTCTCCACTCTGTCTCGAAACAATGGTAAATACTGGTCACAATCCACAAAATGCTATGTTGGAACGGCTGTCAGTGTTATTGATAGGTGTATCCCCAATATATTTAATGGATGTAGTAGATAAAGACAAACGATACGAAGTTTCAAATTATAAAGATATGAGGCTACTCCGGAGAAAAAAATCAGTGGTTATACCAGACTTATATACTGAAATGATGGGTGTAACACCGCAACAACAAAGGGCCCTTTGTTCTCTTTTGCCTACCAACAACTTGGATAAACTACTCGCCTAAAGTTTTGATGCGTGGGCGAGATCGACTAGTTGTTTGCTTACTCAGACTTGTAGACAGATGAGTTATATATTCTCCTGTTATTATTGTTGGATTGTGTCGGTTTTTGGTGTGGAAATATATTTAAGTTCCAGTCAGGCTAATCACGTGTTTTTTTTATCTGAGTTGTGTTGAAGTGTAGATATTCGTCTGAGGCAGATGAACGTCTCAAGACGTGGAAAACCGACCGTCATAACAAGGCTCCAGTTTTAGCAATGTAAACGTTTCTAGAGGTCTTTGTTACGATAAATGAAGTGTGGGAAAAGTTGGAACAATCCGGATTATTCACATTTTTGTTGTGTAATTAGTAGGTAACTTTGCCATAATCTCTTTATTGTAAACTCCCAGTCAACCTATCAATTATTATGCCTTTCACTGTTCCTCAGTTATTGCTAATTAATTATACACTGTCTGCTCCGCTTTCTGTCACTTATAACATAACTCTGTCTAAAGTATGCTTTGTGGTCTGGTAATTAATTTATGTAAGCCGAATGTTTCAGGTAGCTGTTGTGCCAGCGGGCTCGGCTAGGTTGTTGAAAACTTCTCTCAAGACTGGGATCTTAAGGAGAGGTAGAGTAGCAGAAATTAACGGGCTAACTCCAAAGGATTTTGAAAAAAAGATAGTTTGAAGTTGTTAATAAAACTGACTTCTTTTGTGCATTCACAGCAAGCTCATCTAGTCAGCCAGTCGTTATTAGTTCCGGTCGACAAGAAGGAATCATAGTCTCGTTGCAATATGTTAAGCATCTAAAATTCTAGACAACGTATTAGCATAATACTTAACCGAAGCTCAGAAATATGAGGTAATTTCGTCGTATCTGCTAGCACTGAGCAAAGTATGGACCATTAGAGTACTTTAGGACTGTAGATTCTAGCTGTTTCTTGATCTGAAGGCGATACGGGAAGTTACTAATTGAGACCCCCTGTAATAATAAAGTGTTCAAAGGGCCGTAAACGGAAGCTTCTTATACGAATACTCATGGTCAGATGGTCTTGCGGTAAATTAACATATGGGTTTTTTTACTTCAGTTAGCATTGTTCGAAGTTGTCCACCCTTCCTGTTTTTATTCAACTTTGTTATAAATAAACTACGAGTAATCACCTCTCTGCTCTCTTTGATTTGTTTAACCCAGAATTATTGATTGATGCAGAGCGATCATAAAAAGATCAAAGTAGGATGTCAGAGAGGCAGGACAGTCCCATCTCTGTAGCATCCTTGATTAGGGTTAGGTTACCAACCACTTCTGTTTACGTTTATTCTCTTCGCAATAAAGTACGAAAATACATTGGTAATACTATTATGTATAATGGTCTTTTTCGCTTGGAACTAAGCAGCCGTACAATATTGCAATGTTTTCAGCCTTTCTAACACATTATACAATCAGATGTCTACAACCTTTTATCGAGTAAATATCATTTGCACAAGTGAATGATGACTTGGAATCACGCAACTGAATACAGTGCTCTTAGACTAAAATACGACTTACTGAGTTCCAGCCTGTATATACGCGGAAGAAATAACGGTTACAATCAATATATGTATATTTCTGAGACGAGTTAAAACTTGTTTGGTGAAGTATGCATGCAATAAATAAGTCTAAAGTTCACAGGAAAAACACAAGTATTTCATTTATGAGCAAAGCAACAGTAATAAGAACGAAACAATACGAAATGAGTTGTTCAATGAAAAGATGCATCTCCTTTAATTAAGATGATCTTCGATTAATTATCAATAGTCAGCAGTCGTACATCTACACCAAATACTTCCAGCATATATCCCATTAGTGTCTTTTGTTCTCCAGAGCGAACTGATTCCACAAGTTTACAAACTCTGTTCTTTAAATTACGTTGTCTACAGAGGGCATGAAGGCATACTGCTGATTTTAATCACTATAGTTATTTCACATTGAAACTTACTTAGTACTGGAACAAGTAGAACACAAAAGAAAAAGATGATTCCAGATATGAAACGAATCAGTAACATGGCGATGACAATACATACAGGTACAAGTATCTTTGGTTGGTTAATAGTGTTAAGGGTTTGTGTATCTAAAAATAGGAGGATCATCAAGGGTAAGCATATCACAAGAAGTCCTGTTATAACGGGAATGGGATTAAGCGCGCTATAAAAAACATTTTAGAAACTTAATTATGTATTACCTCAGTAGCATTATTATAACTAAGCTTAACAAAAAGTAATTCGACTGATAATAAATTAGATTTGAAACCATTCGTCCATTCCATTTACATTCTTTGGGTATACTGTATCGAGCGCCAAAGCCTAAAAAGTCATTGAAAGATCGTAAAGGTACTGAACGCATCTAGGTTATGTTCGCAAAAGTATTAAAGTCTGAAAAAGAAATGTAACACAGAGACGTTATGGAAATAACCAAACATTGAAATTTTTAAAAAAATTAGTCCTGATAAATTTAGATGATGTAATAAAATCACTTTGTCAAAACTATGTAATATATTAGCACAATACATTTTGAAGTCTGACCACATATTCATTTGTTACGAAATTTATATATGAAAAAATGAAGGTCAACTGGGAGGGAATCAAAGGTAATAAGGACAACAATGTGGATTACATTACACATCCGTCTAACTTATCCTACAATTATCTGACCAACCTTTGATCTTCACACATAAGTCCACTAACAAGCATATGTGCGGTCAGATTGCTAAAAATGCACTATCTTAATACACCTTTTAGTTTCCATGAACTTTGTTCTACCGCTGCCTTATCTAGACAATAAAATACACTTATTTTTCTTAATTAAAAGACATTTTTATATTATTAATAGGTCCTCATAAATATTAACATATATAAAATGTTTGCTACATATTTTCTGACTCTGAACGACTTTCTTTGTTTTCTGAACCCTCAATGTTTATTTTATATGCTAGTTCTTCCGTAAATGTATACTTTATGAAACTGCTTTTTCCACTGTTTGCTAATCAATAATCACAAAAGCTATTTGGATACTTTACCATAAATCTATTTGTCTATGATAGTTCATGAAAAATATGAGGTTGTGATCTTATGTTCCTCAATTGAATTTCAAACCAAATTGACCAGTTACAGTTCTGTGTCTTTATTTATCTTAATGTTAAATTTGAAATATACTGCTAGACATAAATCGGTGAGTTTAACGGAACCATGATTCTTAACCTTTTGTATTTATAAAGATCTGTATTGCTGATGAGGAGCAAGAATACGATGTCTCTTACTTCCCCTGCTTTAACTGAAGCAAATAAGACTGTGTCGCCAAAGGTTAACATCGACTTCTTTCACTTGATTTGAATGTCTTTAACCATATCCGCAGATTATATGGGAGGTTTAGAAGACTGATCGCATGAATGTACCACAGGTTGCGATGTTAATTTCTTAGTGACAGATTTAGTGCCTGGGTCCTAAGAAGTAAGATAATTGGCTGTATTGAAGTTCTTTAACTTGCGCAGTTTCAACCTACTATAGAAGGCCATTGTTTTTCACTTGTTACTGGTCTTGTTTTGGTATCTGTTATACTTCGATTAATATTTTTAAAGTACTAATGGTCTGATTATCGCATTTTTTAAATTTGATTTACGTTTACTGGTTGGTACATATTTTTATCCTTAATCACTTGCGAAGATACTGCAGTACCTCACTTCTATATGAAGTTTATGTTGATTTCGTCCAGAAAGACAGTAAAAGCTTCGAAATTAAATAACTCATCTTATTAAACGTAGCTGTACGAAGACTATATTCATAATTTACAATACTTGTTGGTACATCTACAGTCCCTCGGAAATCTTCACATTTGGGAAGAAATAAAGGATAAATACTACGCACAGTTGTTAAAAACCGTTGAATTAACACTGTGACAAACAGTATACGACTTTAGTTGTTGTAGATGATGACCTTGCAATATAAGTAAATCATCAAAAAATAAATAAACACGTCTGTAGTTTCGGATCGCGTCTGAACTATGGAAATTTGGTGAACGTTTAGAAAATGTGGGCCGAACTTCTAAAGTCTGCAAATTCTTCAAAGTTACTTGACCATTTCTAGCTACCACATATACTTACAAAAAAGTCACTCTAAGAGAGGACTTTATACACTTTTTTAAAATAGTTCACAACTGTAGATTAAGGCTTTTAAATATTAAAAAGCCATTATATATGAAGTGACAATACACTTGGCCATAAATATAGACTATAACCCACCCCTCGGGATAACAAATAAAGTCCTTTCTTAAGTTAGCGTGGCAATGAATACCATGACCACCCATTATTAAACGCTGAACATTTAAGGCTATAGTTATGAGGAGCAATTCGCTACCAAAGGAACAGTCGATTAAAACACAACAACAGGCTTTAACAGACACCAGGTTGTCGGATTTTATATAGAACGTATAAAAATATTAACTAATTGGTGATGAATCACATGCAAGACTTCTTCAAAGGTGGAAATATTCGTTGACCTACACCGCATTTTCACCGCCGTTTCAGAATAAATAACTTTATGTTAACTGCACTTCTTTTAAAAAGCACCGACTGACTCTAAGACAATAATGGATGGACTGAATCTGCAATAAAAATATAGATTATTATTAAGAGTCATAACCGCAGTAAGTGCATTTAAATGCCAATGAATTTCGGCCCCACGGATTTTTATGAGCTTAGAATAGCTCAATTGTTGGCTATGTATTTCAACGGTGCTTATCAAAACGTCCTCATGACATTTAATAACACCTAAATGTGACAGCATCTTAATTAAACTAGTCAATTACGACTAGCTAGTCGTAATTCACTCGCATAACTGTTTCATGTTAACGCACCCGTAAAAATAAACAAAAATTTTAGACAGTAAGTTGGATGGCCAAACTGACGTCAAATGTTTAAAAAATTTGTAGTCAAACAGATGCATCCACACAGCACCCGTTAGTTCACAATGTTACGCACTAATTATACGCAGCGGGATGTACTGTCCAATCAGTTTCAGATTGGAAAAGACAAGAGGCTGGATTACTTGTGTTAGTCCTGGTAATAGTGGTCTCTCGGTTGATCTAACTGTTTTCCGAAAGCGTTGACAGATGGGGCATTAATTATGTTCAACTGGTTGTGGACGGAATAGAAGAAGCTTTCACTTAACGGGCATCCGTGTCTAGTAGCAGGGGATCACCAATACCTCCAGGCAGGAACCCACGTATATCAACGATAATAAAAGAAAAAGAAACTGGGAAATCACGGTAAGATATTATCCTTAGTCCTTAAGAAGATGTCAAGATTCCTCTTAAAGGACTCCTGAGAAGTCGCATGGAGTAGCCCAGTCGACAGAGAATTCCAGCATTTGACAACTCTTAAGGAGAAGTTGCGCCCACAGTCCGTTTTGCTGTGTTGTGTCTCTAGTTTCTGGGTGTTTCTTCTTAGGTATATGTTGGAGCTAAACTTAAGTAGGTGTTTAAGGGGATGTCCAGAAGTGTTAAGGGTGCTGTAAGCCATTAAGAGGTCACCTCTAAGACGTCTATATACTAATGTGTAATGGTTCAGTGATTGGAGGCGCTCTTCGTAAGGCTTGAATTTGATTCCCCGGACTGATTTATTGGATCGCCG